TGCAAAAATGAATGCACCCTTTACTGCCGAGAAAGAGAAAATCCACACGCACCTTTCCCCAGTGGCGGGTGGACAGAGAGCTGCGGCGGGGAGTCGCGATCAGCAATCGCGATATTAAGTGTGAAGTCGGTTATCAGGCGGAAATGGACCACGACCGAAAGAAAGATGTTGTGATCGTGGTAAAGAAGTCCCCCCTTATACATATACACTCTCCTCCAGGAGCAAAGAGCTGTTCCCAATTGCAAAGTTAAAAATAAGTAAATAAGTAAGTAAACTCCTCGGGGGAGGGAGCTGCAGGAAGGGCGGAAGATGGAGGGGGACGTGAGGGAGGACTTGGGAGCTGGGTGGCAACTCCGGGGAAAACAAGCAAAGCCTTTTCCAGCCGGCGGGCCGGCCGGGGACCAGCGACACTGCCCGCAGCTGCCAGCGCGAACCTCAGGGCGCCCGCAGCGCGCGCGGAGCGGAGGGTGCAGACGCCCCAGCGCGCGCTCCCCTCCCCGCGCCCCCTCCCCCGCCGCTTCCTCTGCTCTCCCAGCCCCTTCCCCCACGTGTGGGTGACGTCAAAATTCCGCGAAAAAGCCGCGTGGTGGCTCCCCGAGCGGAGGCGATGCCGCACCCGCCACCCCCTCCCAGGGGCGCCCGGGTCCCGCGAGCCAGCGGGGCTCCTACTCCACCCGCCAGGCGGGGCCCCGCCGTCCCAGGCAGCCTGGCGACCCCCGCCCCAAATCTTTTTGGAAAATTCACTTGTAAAAAGCAAATGCATTTCCAGGGCTATTTTTGGTCATGTGAGGCGTGTCCTGAAGCTGAATCAGACAGGAAGAGGGGGAAGTTTGGGTCTTTGCAGTTATTTTTTTCCCCCTCCTGGGGAGGGGAGTAAGATGGCTAGGTGGGTGAACAGACGGCAGGCGCGGCCTTCCTGACCACGCGAACTGCATCTGCTGTCTCAAGAATACGCCCCGCTCCAAGCTGAAATGCCCCAATGGGTTGTTTATTTAAATAAACAGGCTAGGCTGAGTCTGCCCCCCACTGCATCCAGAGCACCCCGAGACCCGACAGGCTGGGGTAGTGACTGGAAGGGCCCGGACGCCGGGGACTCGGAATTTGCGGAGGCGCGTTCACACCTGGAAGCACGTTATAGAATCGCCTGCTCCCCACCCACCCTTCCTCCTTGTACTATTTAGCTCCTCACCTTTTTCTTTACCGTATATACATATATGCATTTCCCCCTATCTGCTTTTACTCTTTTCACCATTCTTACCTCTTCTTGCCCCCCCCCTTTCTGACCTCCCCCTAGTTCTGGCACTCGGGGAACCCAGAGCGTAGTCAGGGCACACACCACCCTTCGCCATCTATTTTGAAGTAACCTTCCGGATTTAAAAAAAAAAAAAATTTTTGAGCATCCAACCCGTAATAGAGAATTACAATACAGCTTTATTCTTTGGGAGAGCTGGGGGAAGGGAGGGCGACAGTCCTCATTCCAGCATCTGTCCCCAACCTGGCCTGAGCACGTCAGCGCAAGGGCGACAAGGCTTGGCTCGAACACGCGAGGCTCCTAAGCTTTGAGCCTCCTGCAGGATCACCTGGCTGCCCGGCATCCGCCAGGTGATCTGAAGAGTGTGTGTGCGCGCGTGTGCTTAGCGTTGCAGGTTCCTGCAAAGCTGTGCTATAAACACCCAACCCCCGGCTGCACCTACACCTACAGCGTTTTGTACACTTTCCAACCGAAACTTCAAAACGCAAGGGGGGGGGGGTGGAACTCTGAAAAGGAAGGGAATAAAAATCCAATAAAACTTGGGTTAGCTAAGTTTATCACCGATCATACAAAAGACATCATACTTTTCCTTCCCTTGGGGAATGAGAATGGGATAAGGAGGAAGCAATGTTCTTTTCCCCCTTTTTTCCCTCCAGTGCCCCGCTTGACTTCAAAGCTAGCGCTTGCTTTCGGTAAACCTGCGCGTACACTCTAGAAAATGCGCACGTTTGCCCAGGAGGCAACGTGCATTTTCCCGCGTGCTGGGAGAAGCGGTGTTGTGTTGTTTGGCTTAAAAAAAAAAAATAAGTAAAATTAAGGTTTTAACACATGGTCGAAGTGACTAGCGAAAGAGAAAACTCAATTTCCAGTCCAAGGTTCCAGGAGACGCTCCTGCCAACCCGCACACCCTCTCGTGGCCAACCCCACGTGTGTTGGAGGACTCTAAAGCGACCGAGGGACAGCTTCGATGCGAGGTTAATGTTCGGGAACAGCCCATAATAGGAAGGGGAAGTGAATGAGGGAACTTAAAGTAGCTTTCAAAAGGCGAGCCTGCCATGCGGGAAGCGCCCGAACTCGCGGGTCTTCATGAATGAAGAGGGCTGCGGGAGAGGGGGGCATCCGCCAGAACCCCTTCTGTCCCTCTTCTCTGCCAGCACCCGCTCCCCGCTGGAATTTCTCTGTAAAGCCAGACGGGGGTGGGAGAAGGGAGATAGAGAAGGGGGGGGCGAGAAGGCCCCTCCACTCATTCCAGACGTGAGTGCTCGCCACCCAGGCTTCCTCCTCGAGGTGGGCGAGGACGACCACCCACCTCTACTCGGGTCCCCCTTTAGGGGGTCCCTGAGCTGGGGATGCTTTCTCCAAAGGGAGGTGGGGAGGGGGAGACCATGCTGGGTTAGTTACCAAGCTCTTGCCAGCTTCTATTGGAAAGACTTCTCTGCAACCGCACCTTTACCCTCACCCCAGCAGTGTTCTTTGATCCGCTCAAAGGTAGCAGAGGTGACGTTTCATGTCTTTATGGGGTCTTAGGTGAATGTCGCTCTCCAGAGTGACTCAAAACCTTAAGTCGGGAAGTCCAAGGTGACTAAAATCAATAGGTGACGGCGAGGGACCCGCCTGTATGCCTATGAACACTGTTTTCAGCCCAAGTGTCATCCGCTGCACGGAACTGTTGCATTTTGAGTTTGCATCTTGGGTTTTGTTTTTCAGAGTTGGGTTTGTATTATTTTTTTTCTTCCCGAAAGCTAATGGCTTCCACAGCAATTAGACCTTTTTCTCGCCCGCCCCCGTCCCTCCCCTTTCCTTACAGACCGTATATCGGATACTAATTCCCGCGGCTATTGATAAGGTGGCGGGCGCCCCGGCCTCTCGGCGGCCAGCCCGCCCTAGTCCCCGCTCTCCTCCGCCCTCCCCTGCCTTCCTTTTGATGTAGCGGGGAACGCGTCCTACAAAAAAAAAAAAAAAAAGTAATCTGCCCGGTAACAATCAGCGCGCAGTAGCAGGAGCCCCAGAGCCATTGGCTATGCAAATAGAGGGAGGGGAGACGGCGCCCCAAACTCTTACTCACCCTTTTAAAGCTATATTCCCCCTCCCTCCCCGCAGCCACCCACCCCTTCCGCCCCACCCTCGTTTAAAGAGGCTGGCTTCGGGGCCGACTTAATCGCTTGCACCTCTGGTTTATTCTCTGCCCGCCTTCTCTTTTCCACCGCCCCTCCTCCGCCTTTCAGGGAACCTTGTGAACAGCTCCCCCTGTCCGGCCTCCCAAGCCACCCCTTGGCTATCTGCGCCTCTGTAAAGGCCCCCATTCTTGGTAAAAGAAGTCTTTGGTCCACCTCGATGTGTCCAGGGCCCCCCCCAAAGCTTGCCAAGCTAACTGCACGTGCCAGCCTGGCCAACAGGTTGGGGGCGCAGGCCTCAAGCCCCTTCCTCCTAAAGTGCAAAGCACTGAAATGCAGGGGACGGGGGTGGCGGGAGGAAGGAGGTAAGGAAATGCTGCCGTCACCCCTGTAAAAACAGCCTTGACCCGAGGATGCATTTGAGCACGTGTCAGAGCCAGTTGCGCAGGCAGTGTCTCCACCGCAAACCAGCTCCCGGGGAGAAAGCCCTGGTTGGCCGGTGAGGCGTGAACTCGGGAGGAAGCGGCCAGGATGCGGGCGAAGAACCGAGGGTGGAAATCTCGGGCCTCGGAGGAAAGGAAGGGGTGGTGTTGTTTGCGCAGGGGGAGAGAGGGGGAGCCAAACCTAATCCCTCCCTCGCCCCCCTCCCCTCCCCCTCCCGGGCTATTTCCTAGAAAGCTGTATCAGTGTGGCCACGCTCGGCGGAGACACCTCGGGCGGCTTGTCAGCAGATGCAGGGGCGAGGAAGCGGGCTTTTCCTGCGTGGCCGCCAGCCGCGGAGGATCCGCTGGGAGCCCTGCCCCCTGTCTGCAGCAGCCCTATGGCCTTCATTTCGTCCCCCGTTTATTCCCATAGTGCCCCCAAGAACAGGAGGATTTCTGCTCCAGGGTCAAATTCTATCACGTCGGAGAAACGTCTTCTTCCTATGGGCACCTTCCTAACATCTGTCCCTTCTTCCTCTCCATGCACTGGGGGAGGGGGGAGGTGCAGCAATGCTCTTGTCTCTTTAACAAGCCTTTTGAAGTAACTTGAAATGACCGGCAACGTAACTCCAAGTACATGGTCCATACATAACCTTTATATCTAGGTATGCGTGGCTGCTGTTTTGGAAAACCACTCCCTTATTTTCCATTTACAAGATCAATATCTCAATTGTCCGAACCTACTCCATCTTCCAGTAACCTATATCCCGCCATTCTTGGATTCTTGAATACATGGGCAGGGTCTTGGGCTCTTTTTTTGGGGGGGGAGGGAATCCCAAGTTAGAAGGTCCTATGTTGGGTCTAACACACCTAGAGAAATATGTGCAACATTGGAGGGCAGGCATGGGAGTCGGTCTTTTTGTGGGCTCCCCTCTCTGGGGCCCTTGGCATGCGGGGCTGGACGAGGGGAGAGGGCCTCGGAGAGCTAAGACGAGGGTGGGGGGGCGGGGGACCGCGTTTGAAGTTAGGTCGGGCCAGCTGCTGTTCTCCTTAATAACAAGAAGGGAAGGGAAGGGAGGGAGGGAGGAGGAGGAGGAGGGGAGGAGGAACCCGAGAGGGGAGCGAGGCGAGAGGGAGGAGAACTAACTGCCTAGCTCGCTTGCGTCACTGCCTCGGAGTGCAGAGAGGAGAGCGAGCTGGAGCGAGAGACAAGTTTGAAGGGGAGGGCAGGCAGAGTTCAGCAGCCCCCGGGCTTCGCTTCTCCCACTGCCTATCCCTCTCCTCTCTTCATCCCTAGCTCCTCTCTTTACTCCTGATTTTCTCCCGAAAACTCTTCTCTTTTGCCAAAGGAAGGAGATAAGGGGAACCCCCTTCCCTTCCCCCTCTCCAAAAAAGGGGGAAAAAATCCCCAAACTTTTCCAGTCGGGAGAGGACGAGTGCGGCCCGGCTCGCCATGGAGCTGCTGTGCTGTGAGGTGGACCCGGTCCGCAGGGCCGTGCAGGACCCCAACCTGCTCTACGACGACCGCATTTTGCAGAACTTGCTCAGCATCGAGGAGCGCTACCTTCCACAGTGCTCCTACTTCAAGTGTGTGCAGAAGGACATCCAGCCCTACATGCGGAGGATGGTGGCCACCTGGATGCTCGAGGTAGGGCTGTGGGCGACGCTTTCTAGGAATTGTACCCCTACCCTGACTCACAGCCCCCCATTCAGGGACCCCATAAATGAGATAGGGCAGCCTCTGCACCCGCCTTCCCGATCCGGGGCGCGAGACCACCCCAGCCCTTTGGCAGGACGCGTGGCTTCCTCGCGGTTCCTTGCAGGATGCAAGATTAGCTTGGGGGAGGGGAGAAGAGGGGTGAGGAAAATCTGGGAGAAACGAGGCTGTCCCGGGCGGGGGTGGGGAGCATCCCGCGCGCGGGGTGCAGCATGTGGCTTCCTCTTCCTCCACCCCCATCCCGAGCTGCCTTTTGCGAAGCCGCGACTGCTTTCCGTGCGGGGAGGGCAGTCAGAGCGCGACTTCGGGACCTTCAATAGAAAGCAGGCCCCCCCAAAATGCCAAAGCATGCGCACCCTAGACTCAGGTCCTCGCATGTGGTCGAGACTCCGCGTTGGCACTTAAGGGGAGGGGGAAGGGAGGCGGGAGGAGGAGAGAAACCGGGAATTCAGGAGCCCCGGAAGTTCCATTGAAAAACGTGTGTTTTAGGGGAACCCAAAAGAACCACTTCTTTATCCTTGCTCCAAATCTTTGCCGAGCAGGCTGTGTGCCCACGTATGCACAGCTCTGGACCTGCCGTGGTTTCGCCATGTTGCTTTGCAAAAACTCCGCTTGGAAGGGCTGGAAACGTCGCTCGCTCCCCCTTGAACCCCATTATCCCTGCCACCCCACTTCGAATCTTGCCCTCTCCCCCGACACACACCCCACAAAGGTCACTTACAGTTGGACTTTCCAGCTTCCTCGCTGCGGAGAGCTGGGTGGGGTAGGGAGGGGGGAGGAGGTATGTGGGGGAGAAGACATAGGGGTGCCCCTAAATGAGAGGTCAGGCCCCCGCAAGCCTCATTCTGGAGGCTCCCCACCCCTGTCCTGTGCCCAGCTCGTCCCCATGTCCCTGGTGTCTGCCCCTGTGGGCCGCAGCCGGACACTCCGCCGCAGCCTAGCACCCCTTCAAGTTTCCCCCCGGGATCCAGAGCCCCTGGGGGCGAGATACAGACCTTTCCAGCACCCGAAACCTCCGTTCCGGGCAGCCTGGATCCTCCTCGGGGTTTTCACGCCAAAAGGGTTTTGCTATGATATTTCCTCGATTTTTAATTATTTTTTGAAGCCGTCCCCCCTCGCACCGACTCCAGCTGCCGAAGCTGGGCGCGCTTCCTCCTCGCCTCCCTCCCCTCTCTCTTCCCCACCTCTCCCCACCCTTTTTCCCATTTGCGGCGCCTGGGCCCCAGGGACCCCCCCGGATATTTTTTCCAATTGTCGGGAATGATAGAGCAGGGTCTGAGGCACCGAATGGGACCAAACTGGAGACCCCCAGAGGCTCCAGAATATTTTTATTGATTTTTTGAAAAGATGACGAAATCCAAAAAAAGAGAGTGAGCGAAGAAGTGAGCGGCGAAGGGGAGCGTCGTGCCGCCGCTGCTGCGCAATGCACGGACACCCCCCCCACACTTTGGAGCTTTTTAATTCACACTCTTATTAAGCCTCCGGAAAAATACCCGAACTTGGATGAGTAATTTAGATTTACTCCACTTTTCTCATCTTTATTCTTATCGCATGGGTTTTATTTATTTTGTTCCCCTCCCCCTCCTTACAAAAAGGAAATAATTTTTGTTTCCAGAGGTGGTTTCTTAATTCTCTTTTCTCTCCCCCGCACTATTTTCTCCCCTTCCTCAATCCTTCCCTATTCCATCGTAGGTCTGTGAGGAACAGAAGTGTGAAGAAGAGGTCTTCCCTCTGGCCATGAATTACCTGGATCGCTTCTTGGCTGGGGTCCCAACCCCGAAGTCCCATCTGCAGCTCCTTGGGGCTGTCTGCATGTTTCTGGCCTCCAAGCTCAAAGAGACCATCCCTCTGACTGCGGAGAAACTCTGCATTTACACCGACAACTCTGTCAGTCCCCAGGAGCTGCTGGTAATGACTGTCCCCTTCCTCTCTCCATGCCTCCCTCTAGGGTCTCTCTCCTCATGTAGTCCATCCAGAAGGTCCAGCCTTCTCCCTACACCTCCTAAAATAGAATCTCACCACTAATTCCAAATTATCCTATCACTAGAATTTTCATAGTGTGTGTGTGTGATCCTTCTGGGTGCTTGCTGGACACATTCCTAAGTACAGAAGAAGCTAAAGGGATATATAAGACCATCTAGAAGGCTTGCGTTGATGAGATTTTGTGTGTGTGTGTGTGTGTGTGTGTGTGTGTGTGTGTGTGTGTGTGTGTGAGAGAGAGAGAGAAGAATGGAACACAATGACAATTCCAATTAAACATTCCACATTCGCAGTCACTGAATTCCGAGTATGGAGCCTGACATATCACATGGCAGCAGTGGGTCATCTCACAAGGCAGCAGTAGTTTCCCATAATGGGAAAGTACTGGTGGTCTGTCCGAGAACCTGGAGTTGAAGATGCTATCTTCTGTGTACCCTCAGAGTACCTGCACCTAGTAGCTCTTCACGAAATATAAACTCATTAGCTTTTGCGCAAAGTCACAAGTTGGCAGTTTACTGAAGGAGTCTGAGTCCTGGGATCCTTCATCAGAAGGGGTTGTGACCTCTGTACAACCCTGGTGGTCCAGGCTTGCCTCTAGCTTTCTGGCAGGGAACCTTTTCCCACCAATCAGAATCACTTGCCCTTCAGCTCCAAACATGAGATACCCACACAACAGCAGCACTAGAATGGGGGAGCTAGCCTTTCTGCGGCCACCTCTTCAGCGGTCTCCACACCTTTATCTGTACTGTATAGAAAAGGGCCCCCTTCTTTTATCCCCTCCCCCTCTTAACTGGCACTGCCCGCACAAAGTCTACAGGCTTCTTGAACTGAATCCTTTGTGAGAGGCCTTTCTTTCTGAGGCTGTGCTGCCATCTAGTGGCAGACATGCGCAAGCTTGGGGGAGGAATTGCGGAGAATGTGGAGAGGGGCATGAATGACTTCACCTTTGAACTGCTGCCAGATTTCAGCTGCTTCTGGTTTGGTCCGGGAGGCCCAGAAAGGTACTTTCTTCTGGGAGATCTGCTTCCTTTAATAATGGTGCAAGACTAGAGGCTTGTATTCACATTCCCCCGTGAGAAGAAAGGGCTGGAGTTTCAAACCATCTTTGGGAGACGCTGTTTAGCAGTCTATATATAAGAGCCATTATGAGTCTATATTTAAGGGATACTCCAACTCACTGGAAAAGCTGATTATAAAGAAGTAGTAAGTTAAAATTGAGGTCTGGCTGTTTTTCTCGTGTTAATGCAAGAAAAATAATCTTCTGTCTAGTCCATTTGTTTCAACACAGTAGACTGAGGTGTCCTTCAGAAAACCCCAATATTTCCAGAACAAGCCAAGTTCACTTATCCATGCAAATAAACCAGATTTTATCCATTTCTCATCTCTTCAGCCCAGAAATCAGTATGCAGAGGTGTCTCCTGGTTCATCAATGAGGAAGCTAAAGCCAGGAACAGGGCAAGAGTGTCCCAGTTATGCCACCAACTACTCCCAACCCTAAAAAAAAAGAGATCAGTACACCACCAGTGAATTTCCTCTAACTCATAGTCAACTTCCGCTGGATTTCCTAGGTTGTAGATCTCCTCAGGAGGACTCCACTGATCTCTTGCCCTTGGAGTGCCTAGTGACTTCGAACCACCAACCTTTCTATGTAGCAGCCTGATGCTTCATATACCCCACCACCAGGGCTTCATAACATCACCAACAAGTGTAGTAAAAAGAGGATCAGGATTCTGATGCTGGCTTATTGAATGATTTTTGGCTTTAGCTAGCAGAAGGGATTTGGGGTTTTCAAGTAATAAGGGTACACTGGTGGCCTGGTCCCTCTCATTTATGAATTTGATTAGTTGAAAGGCATATTTTCCCTATTAATTGTCCATATTTGTTCCTGGCTCCAACATTTTAGCATGATTCCTCAAAAGTGTTTTAGTAGAGACTTCACTAGGTGAGCTGCTTATTGTGAGGCTCCCAAAGGAAAAGAAAAAAAAAAACCCCAAGTCTGTATTGTCCTGACTTGTACTAAGGGATTCTTTGACCTGGACCAGCCACTTAGATCTGGTTAGGGTAAGAGTCACTTCCATCTGCAAAGTAGGGTAGTAGCTGTTAATAGTTTCCAGGTCCCTAGATGGTGGTGCAAATGACAAACACCCTTTGTTGTTAACAGAGAGGTTAGAAGTTCAAGTCCATCCTGAGGCACCTTATAGTAAAACGTCTGGGAAGCTGCTTCCCAAAGACAGCACTTAAAAACCTCTACTGAGAGTAGTTCTGCTCCAACACTGTGAGGTCAGGGTTGCTTTGACGAAGCTCCTGGTTTTCTGGCGTCGTGTGTACAGAGGCCTGAGCAACATTTAGGTGAAAGGGTGCTCTGCGGCTGTGTGTCATTCCCCCCCCCCCCCTTGATTTCGGCCTGATGTTTCAAGGGGAAAGTTTTACACCACAGAGAAAATGGCACTTTCTTGGCACCCAGTGCGAGCAGGCTAATTGCTTGCCAAGGAGTTAGGTCACAGATCCTTATTTTGAGCTTTATCAATGTGAATAATTTTTCCGTGAGGATTGAAAAGACTTAACCCAGTGATAGAGACACAGTAAGTTACTACCAAAGGGACACAATGACCTTGGCAGTGTTTTAGGATAGGTGAGACTTTCTGGGTGGGCTTGAGGCAGCATTGCATGGAAGTCAGGGTTGGGTGGGAGTTGGGGGGAGGGCAGGCCAGGGGCCGCTGGAGAGGAAGTAGAAGAAAGGAGAGTCTTGGCAGCAGCTACCTGGCCTCTCATTCTTTGCAATGAAGCCTGACATTTGAAGGATAAGAACCATCAGCAGCTTCAAAGCTTTGGGGCTCCTTAATAAACAGCCTGCCTTCCGATCTCAGCAGCCTCTTAATGAGTGCCTTTAAAACGGGTCTGGATTCTAACCCCCGGGCTCAGGCACCAAGTCTGACTTTAGGTTTTAATGCTTATCTCTTGTACCTCCCCCTCCCCCCCCCAAGGAGTGGGAGCTGGTGGTGTTGGGCAAATTGAAGTGGAACCTGGCAGCTGTCACCCCCCACGACTTCATCGAGCACATCCTCCGCAAGCTGCCCCAGCCCAGCGAGAAGCTGCCGCTGATCCGCAAGCACGCACAGACCTTCATCGCTCTGTGCGCCACTGGTAGGCAGGCGGGGGTGGGAACAAGACTGGGGAGCTCAGGGCAGCGGGAGGCTTGGGTGGGGGACAGGCTGTGGGACCAAAGTGCACATATTTGTGTGTTTCTAGAAGGGTGGTCTAGAGTCTGTGCTTTCCTTCCTGGGTGGTGAGGTTTGTGTTGTGTTTTTTTTTTTTTTATCTGAATGGGTACATTCTCTTTCACTGCTGAACTCATAAATGGTTTATGAGGACAGGTGTGGTAAGGGGAAAAAAATGAGGGCCCGTTAAAGTATTCTTTATGATGTCTAAAGTGCTCTTTGAAGATTATATATACTGCTCGCTGGTTGTGTTTAAATCTTTAATCTTTTGAGGAAAAGGATGGCTCTGAGATAAGCCCAAGAGGAAACTTGGGAGGGGTGAGGGCAGATACAGGTTAAAGGAACTCCGTGAACAGAAAGGACGCTGCTGCTCCTGGTAAGGAGACGGAGGGATTCTCTTTACTGTAGGGCATTTATTACCTTCCATCCTTCGGTACAATGGTTGACTTTGGGCAAGGATTCACTTTCCGGAGGATGAGTGTTCTGAGGCCCTCGCTTTTTATGGCTGTGTTTTCATTGTAGCGTGCAGCCTTTGAAATAACATTAGCCACTTCCCACTTCTCATTCAAAGCTATCTCCCCCACTACCTCGACCCTACAAGTGGATCCATGGTTCCTATTGGCCCCTTTGTTTCCTATTTTCGTAAGAAACCAAAGGCAGTGATTTAATGTTGCCTCATGAAATTGAACCTTGGCCAGTTTCAGGGTTTTTTTCTAAGTAGTGACCATGGTGAAAACTCTTGAAACCTTCTTCACTCAAGGGAAGGAAGTTCATCTTGTCAAGAGTTCATATTTTCACAGTCAGAAATGTGGGGTAAAGAACTGACCATTTTGGAGACATCTTTCAGGGGTGGTTGAGGAGGGGGCCTCCGGCTCCAATAAATCAGGAGGAGCTGATCTATGTGGGTGGGATGCAGGGACCGTTTTACAATATCCATAATGCATGTGTCGGGATGGCTATGTACTGTCCGGTGCTATACACAGTTGAATGCTGGACTCCTGGCAGGGAGATTTAAGATTGGAAATCCTCCCAGAGACACGTAGGACGATAAGCCTGGTAGTCGACTTCTAAAAGGTCACAGTGGCACACAGGACCCCTCACAAGGTAGAATCGACTCAGCAGCAATGATCAGTGTGTGAGAGCCCTGTGTTCACGTTCAGAACCCCAGATGTTACTCCTTATCGCTGCCCGACCTTGGGCTAAATGTTGCCCCACTTTGAAACGTCAGCTTCTTCATCTGTAGAACACACCTATTGATAGGCAATCCAAGAGCCTTTTCTGGGTGGTTGGGGAAATATCAGTTGGCACGAGAGGTTGTGCCTGGACGTTCTTTGTGTGACAGACAGGCCGTGGCACTAATTATAGAAATGGCACCAGCCCCCAGTTCTGATGGTCTGTGTCCAGCCAACATTTATTACCTGATTCTTCAGCCTCCTTAGCCCTCAGCAGCCCTCCGGTGCTCTGCAGACGCTGGCCTGCGTAGGATTCCAAACCTTTCACATTTGATATGGGAACAGGTGTCCCACATGGTGACTGTTTTTTGTCTTGCCCTTCCTGGCCCGACGTGGGCCTCACAGTCTGCGTCTGCCCCTGCCCCTGCCCCTTGGAGGGAGCGTTAGCTGTCCTTCCTGCAGTCCTGGGGGCCTTCTTCAGAGCACTGGGGAACCTTGGCCGCCTTTAGACTATGACCATTCTTTTGCTTCCTCCCCTTCTCCTGCTGTCTGACCTGGGTCCTAGAGGTCATGGCCTCATTGACTTGTCATTTTATCTCCCAGACCCTGCTGTCCCTTCCCTCTCTGTTGTCCTGATTTCACTGTGGAGGAGAGGTTAGCCATTCCTTGGGCTCTGACCCTAGGATAGCTGACCCCCGATCCTAAGCTCTGCCATTGCCCAGCTGTTGATAACCAAGGTTCTGCTTTGACCTTGTCTCTTTTGAGTGACAGGTCTGTTGGGAGGAGATGTCTGACAGCCCCTCCTTTCTTTCTGCTTTCCTTTTGGGGTGGTGGGGAGTGGAATTCCCCAAGCACAGGCAGCTTCTAGGTTCTCTAAGGGCTCATTTTATAAAGTTGGAGGGCCCATCCCCCACAGCTAGCCTTCTTGCCCAGATCCTTGGGGGTGGCTGCCAACTTTGGGGCCAGAGTAGGGAGCCTGGGATTCAGGGACTGAGGACAGAGGTCTAAGGGAGGCAGAGAATGTCACAAAGATGCATGACTGCTGTTAAGGGCTTTGCATGCAGGGAAAGAAGCCACCTCTAGCCAAAGGGAAGTGACGCACCTCATATGATGGGACCAGCTGAAGCCGAGGGAGGGTCTTAGAGGTTTCCTGGGTCTGGGATGCCTATAATTGGCCTCACTTTCACTGCTCTGCTTGCAGTTGTTTGAGTGAGGCACATTCTGTGTAGGTTACAGCAGCCAGCGACAGCAGAAAAGCACAGGGCTGCCATTCTTGGAGGAAACCCAGCCACGAAGATGAGTCTGTGTTTGGGGGTCCGTGGTCTGGAGGGCAGCAGTGTTGAGGACTATCCCTGCAGGTAGCAGGCACAGAGTGGTCGAGGGAGAAATGGGAGATATGTGCGTTCTCCATGCAGTCCATCATCTCCCTCCCTGGCCTTGGAACCCCTTCCCCTGGACAATATGCTGGAGCTCTGGGGTGGGGGCCACCTGCCCCAGTTTTTTTGAGCCAGCAGAGGTGCAGAAGATGGTAGCAAGCCCCCAGGCTGTGGCTAGTTTATGGGAAAATGCTGGTTGTGAAAGAGCTGGCAGTGGTTCTGCAGCCTGTGGAGAGTGTATGTGTGTGTGAAAGGGGAAGAGAGAACACAGAGAGGGGTGCAGGAAGGGGAGCGGAGCATCCATCCTTCATCGGACTTTGGGGTGAGGGGGCGGCAAGGCTGAGAGGCATACGTCTTCCCTTCCCTACCTGGCCTGAAATGGCCTCTGAAGAAGACACTGCATTCCTGGTCAGTCCTCAGTGGAGACTTTGGGGAAGAGACCTTCAGAACCACCATTCAGAACCACTAGTGGTGGTTCTGATGTTTAAGCCCCCAGGTCCCCAGAGGGGAGAGAAGACCACTGGCGTTGTCATGGTTCTTCACTCATGATACCATGTGCAACAGATCATTCCAGTTAGTCTGCAGGAGCCAGAGGTGTAGAGTTGAGCTTGATTGGGGTAGGGTTGGTGCTTCACTTCTCTCCCATGGCACGCCACAGCCCCTAGGTTTACACTAGGATCTAATGTGGCCTCATTGTCCCAAGACACTAGTGCTATGCCCATGAGTCACCCCCCATCCCAGGCTTCCCCATCTCAAGGCCAGAACTCCATTAATATTCTCCCTTGATGGTAATACTCCATTTTGCTTTCCTGTCTCCTGAGTTTGCCATGTGTCTCACCTAAAGGTGTTTCATTGGTTTCCATCCCCAAGTTATGGCGAGGCAGTGGTGGTCCGAGGAGAGTGGAGGGCTTGGCCCTTGATCCGGAATAAGAGGTGCTACCTCCCCAGCTGAGAGGTCATGGGACTGACAGGAAGTGGTGTGCTGAACCAGAGTCTCGGTTCTTCTGTCAGGGCCGTGTGGGGACAGGCAGTGGGAGGCTGCCTATCTCACTTCCCATCTGGCTGTGAGATGAATGAATAGCAAGCTGCTTTCTCCCCTCCTCCATCCACCTATGCCTTTGGAATTAAAGTGTCATTAGCTGGTCATGGCAGTCCTGCCTTGAGAGGACAGGGTGTGCTGAACCTATTCTGGGGGTGGCAGATGAGGTGTGTGCAGCCACCAAGGAGGTTGACGTCATTCAGGAGCCAATGAGAGCCCTGGGTTCTGGCCTTTCACATTCCACCTGGCTGCAGGTTGGAGGTGGGGGCACGGTGGGGGAAATGCCTGGTGAGGGCTTCCCCGTTCTCACCATGCTTTAGAATAAGCATATCCAGCCCCCTAGCGGCGAGTGAGAGCAAAGCGGCCATGCTTTTCCTTCAAGGCCTCTTTAGCCAAAATAATTAGGGCTAAGCCTGCTGGGCAGAGAGCTTTGTAATCCGTGGTTTTAAAGGTCTTTAACTCAGAACTCTTTCTTCAGTGAAATCATGCCCAGAAGTGCAGTTACAGAGTTGAACGTGGAGGGTTGCTGCTCATCCTTGCCTGTGGCGAGGGCCTCTGGCCTCCTGGGAGGCAGAGCTGCCTATAAGGGTGGGCACACAGCTGCTTGGTGCTTGGCAAGGATGATGACTCATGACTTTAGACTCCCAAGCCAGGGATTTTTCTTACAGGCTTTTCTTCCACTTGTGATCTCAGTAGTATACGGTAGGTTTAAGGAATTATTTAGTGTCTAAAAAATTATAAAGCATGTTTTATCAGGAGCCTAGAATTCAGATTTACCCTCCCAGCTGGCACTCATAGTGAGTGGCATAGGACCTGTCACCTAGTGCCTTAGGATTTCATGCATTCACCTGTAAAAGGAAGTGTCTGAGCCAGGTGGATTGTGGCAATGCTGCACCTCAGTGAGCACCACTCGATGATGCCTTCAGTCTCTGAGGTGTGCCTGTGTCCCCGGCTGCTCACATATTCCTGGACTCTGGGTGGGGAAGTAAGACGCTAGGGTTGTCTGTCTCACATTGTGTTCATGTGGGTGCCCTCTCACTCCTGACAAAACAGCAGGCGGCTTTGGGGACTCGATGAGGTCATTTCTGGGACACACACAGCTGGTTAGTGAGATTCTGCAGGAAGCACAGAGCCCTATTCTTCCCGGCCTCGGCATGCCTGGATGTTCTTGGCGCCTGCCTGCAACCATGGGATCCCCTCACCCTCCCAATGATGAGGAGACTCCCCGGTGGTCACACTGACCATTGCCATTCCCTAGGAAGTTCCAGTAGAGACAGTGGGGGCTGAGAAAGTTCACCTAGAGCCTGGCACTGGGCTTTGATTTTACACAGATTCTTTTAGAACCACCCAGTGAGGTACATTGCAATCCTTATTTGCAGATAAGCAAAGAGAGCCTCAGAGAGGTCTGGTAACTTCCCTGTTGTCACACAGCAAGTGTGGTGGGCCGGAGGTTCAGTCCTTGTCTAGAACGACAGCGTCTCCTTCTGTGGGAGGTGAGCCCAAATCTTGGGCAACTGGGACAGTCAGCTCCTTCGTGACCAGGTGTGCTGGTCAGATCCCTGGGTGCAGCGGGCTGGAGGACACCCACTCCTGTGTCTCCAGGGAGATGGAGACGGGTTGTCATTTGGATCCTAGCTTCTGTCTTGATCAAGGCATAGGCTGCACATAGTTGGGGGTTTTGCCTTCATTGCTCCCAGATGCATGTAGTGCACGTCTCTTGCTCCTGTTCCACAGTCAGAGTGTAAGGTTTTCAAGAAAGGGCTGAGTGGTGTTTTCCCAGGAGTTAGGCAGGGGGCAAATTGGAGGCAGTACAAGGACATGACCCTTTAGATGTTTCATTTTTGTGCTTTTTTCAGTCCTTCCCCCCTCAGCCCGCAGAGTTGAGAGTGCTCAGGTTCCTGATACCACCTAGAGTGCTACTCTCAGGAGAGGGAGTGCTGGGTGCAAGTAATGTGGAGAGTGCCTCTTCCTTGATCTTCTCTTTCGGGGGCTGCTGTTACTCTCATTCCTGAGCCGCCCCCTTACCCCCCATCAGAGCAAATTAGGACTAAAAGGCACCTGAGAGATTGACCTTTTAGAACCTTTGACTTCCAACTAGCTAAGGAAGAAATACATTTTATATAATGACTCAGGATACACTGGGTGCCTTAGAACTGATACAAAAGTTTCTTGAAACATTTTTTCTTAGTATACTCATACAATACTTTTGGATATATTTTATCCTATTCTTTGCAATAGTAAGAAGTCAAATGCTGGTCACGACCCACAAATGAATCCCATAGCCTACTAAGAGCTACAAATAGAACTCTGGAAAATACTGATCTTGCTCAACCATTATCATAGACAAAGCAGAGTCCAGAGGCTTGAGGAAGTTGCCCTGATGGTTGAGAAAACCAGGGGAGAGTGGAACAGGTGGGCTCGGGGCTAGAGGACTGTGGGGCGGGGGCTTTCTGCTGCAGGGGGCCTGAAGGGTCCCTCTCCTTGTCTGCCGGTGTGAGACCTGTTAGCCTGTGCCCTTCTGTGGACAACAGCTGCAGCCATGCTCCTGCATGCAGTGCTCCCCAGTTATGTAGGGCCGGGAACAGTGTCCCCAAAATGCAGAACTGCCCTCTGCATTTTCCTAGTGAAGAGAGAACTGATCCCTGATGTAACTTTAACCCCTGCCTTCAGCACTTCCCAGACCCCAGGTCAGCCCACATGCTCTCCTGAACATAGGAGTTGGTAACGAAGGTACCAGGACTGCAAGGATGGGCCTGTTCGAGGACTGCAGCCTGGTCTGAGGCCTGGGGCAGAGGGGAGGGAGAGCCAGGGATGCTCTCCTGCCCCTTCCCTGCCAGATGCTTCCACCCAGGGCCTCCATGGGCCCAGGGCCATGAGCTGGCTGCCTCGCTTACATTATGAATATCACAGAGGGGAGCTAACGAGGTTATTGGGCAGAGAAACACTCTCATGTGGCCCCATGTGGAAGCCGACCTACAGCAGAGCAGGAGGAAGGCTGGCTTGTCACACTGTCTCCAGGAAGAGAGAAGGCACAGGAGGGCCCAGTGGACAGCAGGCTTTTAGGGAGACACTGTAATATTCATCCCTCAAGAGGTAGATGTGGTGTGTGTGCTCAGGAAAGACACCAGAGAAAGCAATCCAAGGAGGAAAAGAAATCCGAGGAGCGGGGCCACCAGGCATGTTCTGCCTTCATGAGAATCTGCTGCAGCAGGAGTGCGGCCCCCATGTGCTTCAACTGGGAAGACGAGATCGCCATGCAAGACACTTCTATAAACCTTGTTACGATAGGACATTGGTTAGGAAGGAAGGGAAAGTCTAGAGTGAACTGGTTTTGTAGATTTACTTTAGTGTTTTTGGAAACTTGCAGTGTGGCCCACATCTTCCTTGTATACCACACAAACACACACACTTCCAAGCTCTGTCCAGTAAAATCATTGAGGTAAGGGGAAACCAAGGAGGTCCAAGTGCTGCAGTGATTAAATGCTTGGCTGATAACCAAAAGGTGGTTGGTTTGAAACCATCCAGCAGCTCCACAGGAGAAAGCCCTGGCGATCTATTTCCAATCTGACCTTCCATAAAGAACAGAGCTTAAAAAAAATCCTCCAGGGCCATGCTACTGTGTTGTATGACGTCACTCTGAGTCAAAAATAGATTGAACAGCACCAAACAACAAGTGTGAAACGAGAGTGAGATCCAAGAGTGACTTGCCTCTTACTAGGTTTCACTAGAATGAGTGACAGCTCTAACCTTGTTAACACATCATAAGACGGGAAAACGGGAAGCCCTGTTGGCACGTTGATTAAACAATAGCCTGAGAACCTAAAGGCCAGGGATTTGAACCCGCCACTGCCCGGCAGGACACAGATGTGGTAGTCTGCTACTGTAAGGCTTTGGGCAGCTCTGCTTTGTCTTTTAGGGTTGCTGTGAGTTAAAATCAGCTCTGTAGCAGTAGGGGTTTTGCACTGTTATTTTCTAAGGACAACTTAAAACCTGTTTCCTCACCTAAAACAAGGGTAATAATAATTGTGTGCAGTTTCTAGACTTCCTGTGTAGTTAGTGGGATAGAGGGCGGATCACAGACTGCACATGCTGGTATCAGGATTAAGGTCTGGGTGTCTGACTTCCCGTGATGGAGGAAAAAAAGTTGGATGGTGGTCAGTCAGCCAACTTAGGGGACCACTCAGTAGGTGAGGTGTTTGCACCCCATCTTTTGCTCTTGGAGGAATGGAAGTGAAGAAGGTTTGGGGGTTCCTCAACTTTGGTCTCACTTGCTCTTCTCTAAAACATGACTCTTTTTGCTGTTAAGAAATGGGTCATGAGTCGTAAAATGTAGAGCAAGTCAATAGTGGTGAGCACGTGATGTGTCACCTTTGGTGACTGATTAAGTTCTGCCCAACGGTCCTCGTGTGCTTGGAAGAAGTTAGGAATTGTGTGATCGTCAACCCTTTACATCATTGTTTCTCTCACTTTATCCCCTACTCCCGCTTTTTTTTTTTTTTCCTTTTTAATAAAATAGTATCTCTAAGTTTTGGACCAGATTCCGCCCCCAAGGCTGTGGCAGGATCTCTTCTGGATTTTCATTCTTCATAAAATCTTGCCTGATAACCCCCTCACCTGCCAGTAACTTTTTCCCCCCCACACACAGCTTCTGGGTCACTTGGATGACACAAAAGGATGTCTTACTGCATGCTGGTCTTGGCAGCCTCCGCTCTTTGCTGCCCCTTAGGGAATCCATGCCTCTCCCCTCACCTGCCTCATCAGAGTCCAGATCAGCACCTTGAACCTGCTCGCCCACACAAGATAGTGAGATGGACTGTGGAGATTGGAGGATGCACGGGTTCTGTGTGAACTCGCTATGTGCCTTTCTGTACACCTGCATTAGCCACCGAGATCCCAAGCCGGTTCCCTTCCGGTGGGTTCTGCCTCAGGTGTTAGCAGAAAGGAGTTGGACTTTGTGGCCTTTAATGTTCATGGGAGCAGATTGTCAGTCCTTTCTTCCTTGGTACCACTGCACAGGCTTAAACCGCCAAGCTGTAGGTTGATAGTTGAACGCTAATCATCCGCACTACCCGGGGTGGTCACAAGGAGGATAACTGGGTGATCCTGTGATAAATACATGATGACTGTTTGTGAATCAAGGACAGACTTGGGGTGAGGGGTAAGGGGCATTCAGCACAGCCGTCCCCCTGCCCTCCTGTTATGGTGAGTATTTGCAGACTTAGGGAACTTTGGGAACCAAATGCTTCCCACCTGCTGACCTACTCCCCTCTTTTTTCACAGACTTTAAGTTTGCCATGTACCCGCCGTCGATGATAGCAACTGGAAGTGTGGGTGCGGCCATCTGTGGGCTCCAGCAGGATGACGACGTGAGCTCACTCACTTTCGATGCCCTGACAGATCTGCTGGCCAAGATCACAAACACCGATGTGGTAGGTGGCCAACGCCAGGCCCTTCTTTTCCTCAGCTGCAAACCCACTGCCATGCATTCAGTTCCAGCTCATAGTAACCCTGTGGGACAGAGTAGAACTGCCACATAAGGTTTCCAGAGGCTAAAGGTTTATAGACGCATCGGCCAGTTTCTCCCAAGAAGCAGCTGGTGGGTTTGAACCATTGCCCTTTTGGTTTGCAGCCCAGTATTTACACCACTGCGCTACCATGACTTCTTGCGCAGAGGACATAGTTGTTTGATTGTGATGCATGAGGCTCATATTTTTGAGGAAGGGGGTGTCCTATCTTCAAAGATGAACATCCACAGTAGTCCTAAACGGAACAGGTGAGACCTCGTCTTAGGTTTTTAAAAGCTGGCGCGTCATGAAATTCAACCAGGAACTGAGCAAGCAGATAGGAGAAGAGAGGGAAGGGTGTTTACTAATTTTTCTGTGTGGCATGGGCTTCCCAGTGGGCCTGAATTGCTGCTTCACTTCCATTTATGTACACGCTGTCAGGCTGCCTCTCCTCCAGTGTGGAGCCTGAGACAGTGCTGCGTGCTTGCACTCACAGGCAAGGCCACCAGGCCCCTGGAGGAGAAGGAGAGACAATTAGAACAGGGAGTCTGCTGCCTTAGAGATATCTGGCCTTGGGCAAATCTCTCAAACCCTCCTGTTCTTCTCTTTCATTTTGTGTTGTAATGGATTAAAAGCACTTTTAAAAGATTAAAGTGCTATACGAATTTCATGAAACTATTATTAGCTGGAGATTTTTTCCATTCTGTGTGCCCCGTGGACAGCCCAGAGGCAGTTCCCTTCTGGTTGCTAGAATCTGAAGCTCATTAGAAGAAAGGTTTTGAGACAGGCCAGAGAAGGCTCTGAATTCAGCTGGTAGAAAAGTACAGAGCCAGCCAGCATGGTGCCCTGAGCTCAGCGTGGTGGTGCTATGAGCTCAGTCGTGGAGTCACTATATTTTCACGCAGGAGGCCCAGAGAACTGAAGTCACCAGCCAGGGGGTGGTTAGAGGGCAGTGCTGGGGCTAGAACCCTGACTTCCAGCTGGTAAGTTTTATACTCCATCCAGGCTGCCGTTGCTTGGACCTTATTGTTTGAAAAAGGCCTTTGCTTTAAAGGCAGCTGGAAAGAAGGGGTGTCGGCTTGGAGGCCCTCCCGAGTCACCATGGTGAGGCCCAAGAATGCAGGGAACTTCTTGATGATACCCTCTGGACATTCCAGGAGGATTTAGAATGCCCTAATGTGGGAATATATTGAGTGAAGGGATAATGAGGTGAAGCCTCAGTGGGCCATAGGCTGCCTCTCCTTGCTTTCTCACCACCCCCCTGGGTATTTGGTGTTGAGATTTGTTTCCAGCACAAGGAGAGGCTGCAGGGAAGTGTTTAGGGCCTCATTAAATAAATCCCAAATCCAGGGCCTCCTTTATCACACTTTAGCCTTAAAAGTTTGTGTGTTCTTTTTTTTTAAATAATGATGGCCCCCAAACTTACCCTTTTAAAGTAGGGGCTCCCAGATGCAGATTGAAAAGACCTCTTCAAGTGCAGCATGAAAACTACTTTTCTGATCCTCCTGAGAAAAATCATGGGCAGAACTCAATATTTATAGAATGTAATCTACCTCCCCCCCCCCCAAATATCTCCTATTAAGGCAGCTTTCCAAACAGGCCTCCCAGTCGGATGAAGGCTGGCCCCTCCTTTACCCCCAGAGACAAAAATGTCAGTGACAGGGCTTTGACCCAAGCTTCGTGACCTCTTCTGATATTCATGGCCTGCTCTGATTGGTTTTTGCACCTCCCCTTGTGTGGTGACCAGCCTTCTCTCAGGTTTTTCTAAGGGTGCCTCTTACTGATTTCAGATGCACAGAGGTCACTTGGGGGCAAACTTCGGAGACTCTAGGAATGTGCCTTACTTCCAAGACCACGAACCAGAATGCCAGCTCTTCCTAGACAAGCTGTGTGTCCTTTTCAGAGACTGTAGCCAATCCATTCAAGACAGCTGTGAGAGGAAAGTAAACAGACTGGGAAGCCATTTCTCCCACTCGGCACTTCAGCTATAGAGTTGCACCTGGTTTCTGTAATGGGCCTGGGCTGTGTTTCTTAAGTGTCTGGGAGGCACACACTAACTCAAAAAGGTTGGAGGTTCAAGTCTGCCCAGGAGTGCCTCACAAAAAAAGGTCTGGTGATCTGCTCCTAAAATTTAAGTCATCGAAAACCTTGTAGAGCATAGTTCTGTCTGACATATAAGGGGTTTCGTGAGTTGGATATAATGACAACTGGTGTTTCCTAACTGGAGTCTGTACATGCCTTCTGCCAGCGATGAGACTACTTAGTCAAATGGCAACTCCATGCCACTTTTTCTGGCAAAATTTGAGACCTCCATAAAGGATCTCTGCTGGTTTAGTGGCAAGGAATTGCTCTACCAACTCAAAAGCAGGCAGTTAAAATCCACCAACTGTTTTATGGGGGAAAGATTGTCAGTCCACAGCCCCACCCTTGCCTCTCTATGTGATTTAATTGCCTCTGAAAACTCACTGGAGGGTCAGCTTTAAGTCAGTTCTGACTTGACAGTATACAACAACATAAGGTCCAAGCTTACCTTTGGCATCCTCAGATTTTCTCAAAGGTATTTATTCCCTCTGGACTTTTTTTTTTTAATGGGATGGTTTGAGAAGTACTAACCTAGGTTGTTAAACTTCCCAAATATTAAAGTTCTTTCTGTCCATCAGCTGTGAGAAGTAAAGTTTAGAGTGAAACGAATGACAAGAACAAGAATTCAGAATGCATTAGCACTTAGAGGGAGGTGAGTTGTGTGCTGCGTGGCACTTCCTGAAGAAGTGGTGGATTTCCATTTATTCCTGGAAGTACTGATGGCTCATTTCCTGCAGAATGCCTTGTTGAGAGGTTCCCAGCTGAGCAAGGCATGGTCTGTGTGTACCACAGTAAAGCTTTGCCAAGCTAGAACAGAATGCATGGAAAATAGAAGATGAAGTCCCTGCCTTAGTGATCGTAGAGAAAGTCAAGATCAAAAAATCTATAAAACCATAGCAAACCTGTTTTAAGATCGCACATGAACAAAGAGCATACACTTGACAACATAGCATGAACTATAAGTGTCAGAGAGACGCAATCAGAAGGAAGGCATTTCTTGAAGACTTACTATAAAATGGCAGATCTTCCAACAGAGTAGATTTTGCAATAAAAAGTGTCCTCCAGGCTGGTCTGTGAAGTGCCCAGAGCTTCATGTTGAGCTCTCCCAGGGAGAAGTCACATGCTCAGACCACATTTTGCCCATCGGCTCCGTCCCCATCATGTACTGACAGACTCATAAAACACTCATCGCTCCATCCACCCTGAATCCCTGGGGTTGTCTTCTAGGCTCCTCTGAACACCACGATTTTGCCATTCCCTCAAGCTCAAAATGTCCCAGTCACTGTGGGCGACAGGTTTCTGGATTGTTGGGTATCAGGGTGCTGAAGGAGGGTCCCTGGATCTGAGTGCTGCGTCTGTCTCCCTGGTTCATTGGTCAGTAGCAGATAGCTCTGTCAGGAGGGAGCTATGCGGCTCTGAGAATGCTGGTCTTGGTTGCTCCTTTGGTTGCCAAAATAAACCGGAACGCTTCATTCCAAAGAGAAAGCTGAGTGAGAAGCCTGACAGTTTTACAGGGAATAAAAGTCTCAGAGGGTGGTATATTTTAAGTACTTTTTTCCTTCCAATCATGAGTGTTGCTAAAAACAGAGGCTAGCCAGTTCTGGCTTACGGTGGGGGACTTCTACCGGGGCTTCCGTTGCCAGGGGTACATGTGAGAGAAGGGATCGGTTCCCGGCAGACCTGTCCAGGCCTCCCCAGACAGCGTGGAGGTTCCTCTTCCGTCCCGCAGCACTTTGTGCATGCCTCTGTGCCAGCATTTATCTCACTGTTTACTTGTCTATAGAACCCCTTGAATAGGACCCAACTGGCAGAGGCATGGGAGAATGATGCTGAGAAGAGGGAGGGAGGGGAGGAAGGAAGGAATGAACGAAGGACAAAGGGCGGTCAGATGGATCTCAAGGGTGTCTCCATTTCTTCGGATCCTCTTGCGTTTTAGAAGGCCTTGTGTTTTTTAGCGTTAATGTTAATAAAACCTGCGAAAGCCAGAACCTGTGTAAGGGGGAGACAAGTCAAAAACAGGAGACATTTTTCCATTCAAACAAGCCATCAGGTGTGGTAAGACTTCATCTCTTAGAGGTAGGATACTTTGGAGACCTAGAGAAACAAGGCCGTCCTGTCAAAGTTTTGGCCCTCGAAGATTTTCACTGTGTATTTGAAGGCTCACTTAGGTTGAAACGCGGAACATAGCCCGGGTTCTATCTTAAGAGCAGTAGGTAGACAGCTCCAGTGGTGCAGTCTGTGAAAAGCCGTGCTCCTGACTAACCCTTTGGGGTGTGCATCTCCGGCAATTTGAATCCACCAGAACGGGCCTTGAGATAGAGACGGTTGTCTCCTTTCACAGTGATTTATTTACAGCCTCAGAAGTTTGGAGGAACACTGTGAGTCAGTACCAGCTCTATAACTCAGACACTAGAGGGTTTGAGTTGAGTTTATCTTCGAGGAAGGCATGCTGTTAGCACAGTAGTTAAAGTACTCTACTGCTAACCCAAAGGTTTAGGGTTTAAAATCCACCAGAGAGTAGGCGGCATTCTGCTTCCCTAAAGATTGAAAGCCTGGGAAACCATAGAGGGGGATAGTTTCATGGGATCGCTGCAAATCAGAATCAACTTGATGACTTTCGAGTTTTTTTTAGGTTTTGAGGTTGGGTTTTTTTTTTTGTTAGAAGAAGTCATGATTTGAACAAAACACTTTCACTTATTTGCTTCCAATTTAAAAAAATACACATTTTAGGCTTACAGGCTATAAAGATGGAATTAGGCCAGGTGAAATGACTGGAAGAAATGAAATAGAAACAAATACATAGATTCTCCCTCTCCTTTTTTTGTTAATTTTTTTTTAAATAG